GTGACGCAAGCAGTATTTTCTCATTGCGCCTATCCGGTGACGATGCATTTTCGAGCACCGACCAAGCCGGTGTTGGTATTGCCCTGAATCCCCGGGCTGAAGCTACTCTGGTTGAATTGGATTCCAATCAGTAGCCGGATGTGTGCGGTCCGATTGGCTAGCTCATTCAAAGCTTCGAAGTCGCGTGTGACTAACTGGTGTCTATTCGTTATCGCTGCCTAATCACCGACAAACTCTAGCGGACTCGGTAAAAGACGACTTCTATCGTCAACTATACCACCTCCTTAGCCACAGAAGAAGGGAGGCTCACGATCGGAGTGCGGCAGCTGTAAAGGAATCACTCTGATTTCCATTGCCTCCAAATTGCTTGCCTCTATCATCATTCACAGACTGACTGGCACTCGTGAAAGCCAGATTCGTGAAGAGCAAGCCGGATTTCGTCGCGGTCGTGGCTGCATTGACCATATCTTCACTTTTCGTCAGTTGTTGGAGCACCGTCACATTTATTGGCGGCCCACCGTTGTCGTGTTCCTTGATATCAAAGATACATTCGATTCGGTGGATAGACATGCACTTTGGGACTGTCTACTCAGGAAAGGTGTACCTGAGAAATATGTGAATATTATCCGAGCATTATATGCGTGTAGCTCGGGCAGAGTGAGGGCTTACGGCAAGTTGTCGTCGCCCTTTAATATCTCCAGCGGCGTGAGACAAGGATGCCCGCTGTCACCTTTCCTCTTCAACTTCGCTATTTATGAAGTAACGGAAATCGCGTTTACGGGACACGACTTAAGTGTGGATCTGCTCCCAGGAGAACGACTTCTTGACTTAGAGTATGCTGATGATATTGCCCTAATCTGTGACAGCTCACGAACGTGCCAAGCGGCACTGGACAGATTAGCACTGGCTGTCCGTCACTTCGGGATTTGCTTCGCACCCTCGAAGTGCAAAGCGTTCCTCCAAGGTTGGTCTGGACCGCCTCCTACGCTGACCCTTGGTGGAGATCAGCTAGAAGTCGTTCAAAAATTCAACTACCTGGGAAGTTCTATCAGCGTGGCTCGGCCACGTGTTAGGCATGCCGGCGCACCGACTCCCGCGACGTACGTTGTTTGCGCGCCGGGGGTGTGGATGCAAGAAGAGGGGGGGTGGTCAAGCGATGACTTGGTCGAAAGGAATGAAGGCCCTCACTTCTGAGCTGGCCTCGGTTGGAGCGTCTCGGCTCCCTGGTTAGGGTCCGAATGACGATGAACACGTTTGGCTGGATACACTTGCTTATATGGCTAGGAACCGACCTCAGTGGCGTTCGTGCTGTGAGTTTCTTTATCCCACCCATCCGTCTTAGCCTTCTCCTCCAACCACGATCTCACTATTTTGCATAGTAATTTTTTTATGCACAGTAGCCGGCTGGTAGCTTATCGGAACAATGCCCATCCGTTACCGGTAGCTCAGCCGGCTTGCACCAGTTGCCTTTTTCTCTCCTTTTTTCTTCTATGTATTGCGCCACAGTAGCTGAGGTGTTTCCCACCTCTAGCTAACGTGTATAATGAACGAATGAATGAACTTCCGAAGAGGATGGACTAGGATACTTTCAAGACGCCCACACCTGACAGGAGATCGACTCAGATCCTCATCCAAAGCCTTCGATTAGATGTGCACCCGAAAGGCTGCGGGTCTAGCACATGGTCAGTTCACTGACTGATGCGGATTGGTGTCCTGGATCTTCGCAGGGAGAAGGCGTAACCCAACTTCCACCCAGCGGTCGCCACGAGGAAGCGTCCAGTACATGAGCCCATGGCACAACAGTAGCATCAGTGGGTAGACCATCTGTCAGGATATAGCCGCCACCAGCTTCGTGTCACATATATATATATATATATATATATATATATAGAGAGAGAGAGAGAGATTTCATTTCACTTTATTTGGTTTGTTCTGCCTACATGAGTAATCTTTTATTAACTGGCCACATTGCTTACGCTAATTTCGCTTATCTTCGGTAACTTTGTTGCGTTTGTAGTATTTTTGAGTAACTTGTGGAAATTTTTTACTTATCGTGGTTTCGTTGCTAAGCAACTTACTTCATATGCTAATTTTGCGAACAGTTATGCCACCGTATCTGTATGCATTATTCGATTTACTTTTTTTCATCCTGTCGTTTTAAGTGATTGGCTGTTGCTTGATATCCCCGGTGTGGCTGCGCTTGATGTGCATGTTTACAGGGTGCCTACCTGTCTATTACCCACTACCTCGTTCATACTGGCTCCAGGAGACAGTTGGTCGTTGCTGGAGGGGACGGGGTGCACGGTCCTTGTAGTCGTGCTAGGCTCGAAGAGCGGTTGCATGCGAGGCGCCTTCAAGTCTTTGGTTATCCTTGCCTGCGGAGCACTGCTTGTATCGGATGACATCAGTTCGTCTGTAACAAACCGGTACTAAGCAGGAATAATCAGGCTAGTTCCTTATTGCAACAAATAATGTTGAATAAGTTGCGTTGACTTGTGGACGTGTTACGTATGGCTGGTCACCGTCTACGGAGGAAAGCCTTGTTTTGTTTGCCTGATGTAGGGTAATGCAAGGCTCGAGATTAGTGTGAGTTGGCTAGGTGCTGTCGGTCCGTCACCTTCTAGGCTGGAGTCCACGTGACCTGCCTTGTGATTGGCTCAAGACTGTAGCGCATGGCTCGCAGCCTCCACCAGTGGCGCGTTTACTGCTCTCACTCTCTCAATCGTATGGTTTTTTAAAAGAAGTATTTCTGATGCTGGCTTTGCTGATAAGGTTGTCTGTGGCGCGAAATGGGGAAGGCCCCAAAGATGCTGTCTTACCTTTGTACGATGGCCACCCGTTTGTGAGCGTATGTTGCTGGCAAGGTGTAGGTGCGTTGTCCCTGGATGTTTCCTTAAGACATTAAGATTTTACGCCATGTCTCTCTTATCCATCCCTTTACTTCATTCCTTAGGGGTTTAGGTTTGTAAGACAGTGAATTGGCAGTTCAAAGTACGGATGTACTCCTCTAGACGGTGATTACCATTCTTCATCGATCGACTACCTTACCAACACTCGCATCGAACACGGCTCTACCTGGCATATCAGTTGGGGTAAATGTCAAGTGCGTTTCAGTCATCCCGTTTTAGGTCGACTGACGCAACAGTACACTACATGTATCCCACTAAGAAAGGCATCAGCAGTACTGACGCTTCGCTGCCACGTAACCACTACCAGTCGCGAGTGGGCTAAGGATATTGTCTGGGTCGCCCGGTCCTTTATGCAGACTCGAACCCGCTACCTCAGGATTACAAGGCGCCGAGTTTGCCTCATTATAGACCTATCAGAAGCGCCACACTGTCTCTTTACTTATCAGGCGCGGCTTCCTCCTTTGCAATGGCTATGGTTGGATACATTTAAGGTACCAGGGTTGCACGCAGCTTAGTCTTCCATGAACCCTTGGCGGTTAAATCAAGAAGATAGTTCCTAATGCACATGTGCCGATTAGTTTTAGCGTCTTCATCGTTTATTTGTTTACTCCAAGCGATGCATACTTAACATTGCCGTTAAATCGACTTCTGTGGACAAGTTTAAGGTCTCATCCATTTGGTTCGACAAATACAATTAGTAGGACTGCTGCCAGTTTTATAGGTGCTCATGAAGTCCTAGCAAATTGTAATATCACCCTGAAGGTTGTTTCTACAGTTGGCGCTTATCGCATGAATGTTGCGTTGGGTTCATTTTAATCACACTGTTCTCCAGGGGCTCACATCAAACCTGACCTACCTATCGGTCTGGAACACACATATAAGGGAATCCGCCAAAACTCTAAGTAGGGATGGCCACATCAAGTGTTGGATACTCTATCCGACAAGACACATTCACGAGGTCAGTGACGCCGGTGTATTCTTTCCCCTGCTTCTGATATAGATGCCCATCTTATTCTTTCAATTTTTTTGTCCATTAATTCTGGATTATCATTATATTCTATCATCTTTGTTGTTATTACTTTGGTGACGTGTGTCAAGACGATTAGATTCATCGCATTCCTACACACGATCACAGTAGCTCGCCGAACATGCACACATTTTTACCATACCTTGATACGCCTACATGCAGTACTGTCTTACTATGTCACAGCGAAACGTTTAACTTTGGGGATTGTAGTTCGCCAATAGGACTCGGCTAACCGTCCACTTGGCTCTAGGCGTCCGAATAAAGGATAGATTTTTGCACGCGTTGATTTAATAGGGTGAAAGTTCCCTCCAATGACCTGTTCCATCATGTACATCAAATTTCAAAAACGTTTACTCAGAACTCGTATAACAGGTCACTTCAACGCCATCTGAACAACGATCTATTCTTTTACTTTACTTGCACCACCAGATTCAAAACATTTCGGTCTACGAAATAGCCGCTTACAATGTTGGACTGCTGGTTCACACTTAAATCTACCAGCGTGTAACCTTCATCAGACGACATTTCAGCTTGCTGGCTACGTCCCCGTTAGCATTCCTCAACAGTCTTGTAAAGGTTTACTCCCTCTCCCACTCGTGTAACGCCACGAAAGTGCCACCTCACCGGTGGAGTGATATGGGCACCTTAACACTATATGTTTTACGATGTGCACTACTCCTGTTGTTTATCGTTATCCTAATCGCTAGAGCGTTGTGATTTTTTGTTTTGGTACCTTTGGGATATTTGCTTCGCTCTTATCACTTACGATTTGCTCATAAGAATCTACTTTGGTAGCTCCTCTATTCGCAGATTATTCCAAGCAACAGCAGCTCGGTTGATTTACCAATCCATTTCCATGTGGTTTTCGTCTTACCTTTTTCTCTCATCAATCGATCGATCAGTGCCGTTCAACTGTCACACTACGGTCTTTTTGTGGTTAAGATTTCACCTTTTATTTACCATCGTGTCCTGTACCATCGTTACCACTGATCTCGTTCATCCACAGTTAGACCGTCCTCACCCTTGTTGTTTCGCTAAACCTTTTCACTTTTCTCTCATTCTAGGCATCGGGGTCCTGTTTGGGGGCTCAGCTGGTCTCACCCTATGTTCGGTGGCTTGTTAGCCTCATGTGGATATGACCGAAAGGTGATTATTTGGCAGGATCAAGGCGGTCGGTGGCAAAAAATTCATGAATACACTGACCATGCTAGCTCAGGTAATGTTGAGAGTATATTTCTCTTGTTCACCACCTCCTGTTCTCGTACATTGTATATTTCGGCGCCGTGGTCCGTTTAAAAGGTGTATACCCATTTTACGCTGTCTGAACATTCATTCCTTAAATCCAGACTCTTTCCTCACCTGTTATCGAGTATGCTCCGACACTTGTTTGAAACTACACAGTTTTTAAAATTAGCGGTATACGGTGAATCCTACACGATTAGACTCGGTCAGACGGTCATCTGACGCCCAGAAAGTCTCTGGATCTAGCACTTTAGTGATGAATTCAACATATACTTTGTGAACCCAATTACCACTCCCTTGTAAGTTGCCTGGTTTTAAATTTGGCGTCTTGCATTTCGCTCAGCTTTCATGATTGCAACACTGCTGGATGCCATCGAAGAGCTGCACCAAACGGATTACCACATGTAATGCCCAAGCTTACCAGGCGCGTATTTGTGATTTACTGCTGGTCTACTCCGGGTTCGGGTCCCCGCTCCAACATAAAATTGGTCGCCTCTGTGGTATCTCAGCCCAAGTACAGCCGCTCGTGAGTGTCTAGCAACAAAAATATAAGCACGAGTTGCTGGTGACTTCATACTTCTCCTAACCATTTTGGACCTTCTCTGTAACGTCCACGCGTTCCATCTTTTTTGTCTTTCGGGCTTTAGCACCATCATGTCTGTTGGAGACTTCTGTTCTTTGCACTCGGTCTACCGTCTACGATCGTTGCTCACGTCTGAAGCTTATTGTTATACGCTGCACGCAACCTTCAAGACTTCTTTAAAATCACTCATGCGGAATAGCTCGAATCTTAACTGTCGGAAGGAATAAAACGCTTACCTTGTAACCCAAAGGTCGTCGGTTCGAATCCGCGCAGGTGCAAATGACCTCCCAGAATACCCACCCCACGTGCTACTGGTGGTGGTTGCTTGGTAGTGAACTGTCGGCACGGTGTGCCGGCGTACTATTGACTCATTTAACCGTCAGACATACTCATACAAGTGGGAGAGTGACCGGAGATGGTCTCCCAAGCAGCCATGGTCACAATTGTTCACGAGGGTTGCTGGGAGGCATGTCCACCACTTACAAGCCTATCGTTCCCGCCTCAGTTCGGTAGTCACAGGTACACATCGGCTTCCGTTGAGAACGTACGTAAGTTCTAGCTGGTCCATACTGAACCCTACAGTCGAACTTTCAGGTTGGATATCATGGCGCAGATCTGTGGTTCGAAGTGTTCAGTCGAAGCCCAGAGGCCGGGACCGTCAAAAAATCTTATCTCGAGACTGGCAGCCGTTATCATCTGTTCGCATACTTTCCTCGTTACGTGCTCTTTTTTATTTATTATCCTTTACACTTTTCTTTTTCCACGCTAACTGGCGATGTATCAACTCGCAATTCGTCAGCTTCACTAACCTACTGCCGTGGTCTGGATACCAACCGTATTCCTTATTCCTGTAGAGAGGCCAACCTTTGTCCGTGTTTTAGCAAGTAAACCACAAACCCGATGCTTTTTGTCGCGCTATTTCACTGGTCACCAGCCTTCTATTGGAAATATTCTTTTTTTACCATAAACCAGATGTAGTCTATGTAGCCATACGGTGTTCTGAGTCACAACTTTTTCTCATCCACCTCGTATAATCTCGCAAATTTTCCTCTGTGCTATCTTCCTCGTGGTTATCATTCGCTACCTAGCCGTTTAACAAATGATTTTTTCGAACCCTCACATTTTGCCTCTTCCTGTTTGCCAAGCGCCGTTTACATTCTATTCCATCTGAGTAAATGAGGTCACATGCGTTTTATTTGCCGCTCTTAAATGAAAATGCAATAGCGTGATTTTCTCTCACATTCCATCCTCCGATCGCAACCATGTAACCATCCTTTCCTTTTTAGTTTTATACTACTTACTAGTTTAAAGTAGCTGATGAACATAAAATATACACTACTCGCATCCCCACCCACCACGCAAGTGACATTTCCTCGTGTGATACATTCAACACCGCTTTTCTGCCTTTCCACGAATAGTAGGTGATTCATCTGTTGTCGTTACCTTCTTCCCATCGAACACAGTAATTTAATTCACTACATTCAATGGCCAAACGATTGCTTCGGGTTCACTGGGACATCATGTTGTCCCCTGGTTCTCCAATATTTGCTTTGCCAATTTTACCCAACGTAATGCACTCACTCTAATAACGATCCTGTTTCAACAGCTCATTTTCTGATACTCATCATGCTTGTTTTACCACTACCATCTTCATACTTTCGTGCTTATTGTCTCAGTAAATTGTGTCAGTTGGGCGCCGCATTCTTACGGACTCATGTTGGCCTGTGCCAGTTCTGATGGGACCATTTCTATCCTCACTTCCGATGGCTCTAACAGCTGGCGAGCAGTCCGGATCCCCGACGCTCATGCAGTAAGTTGCCACTTAATTTGTATAGCTCTGTAAGAAATGACCCTCTTCGTGAGCACATCTTGGTCACAGACAACGAGGCACGAGGGTGGAGCGCCATTTTTCTCCGAATGTAGTTGTATATCTGATAATCATGAAGCCGGATATGCACATGCACCACGTATGAATGGCTTGTTTTTCTGCTTTTGTGTTAAGCTAGTTGCCTCACTGACATTTCCCATGGTTAGTTTGCTTAATTCGGTGGCGTGAGAAAAAGGACGTTTGATCGGTTGTCACTAGGCTCCCAAGAAGATCTTGAAACAGGTGGATCTAGTCATCAGAAGCCGTTGTCCGTGCTTACCGTTGTCAGCACTAATCATCCAGGGTCTATACAACACACTTATCTGGGTATACTATGCATTCATTGAGCGTGGACATGTTGTCCACCAAGTGTTGGGCTCCAGTCCAATCTGTCGATCCCTGAAGACAATTTCGAAATAGGGTCGTTTAAGCTCATTTCCGCTTTCGCTGTATAACTTGCTTCTAGGCATCTGTCTGCTTTTTAAGATTACACCTTCTCATTGTAGTTGTATCTTACCCGACGCTGTGCAGTCGAACTGATCCACGGCTCTTGTTATACTTCAATTACAATTGTGTGCAGCTCTTGGGGCTCACCCTTCTGTTCTTCTGCCTTGTGAATGTAGGTGAGGTGAAATGGAACAATGCTATTTCGGAGCTGACTTGCTCATCGAGTCGGTTAGGGTTAATACGAGGAGCGGTCAGAGTGCCTAGGCCGGTGTTTAGGATGCTTCTGTGACAACAGTGCCTATTTGAATGCCATTTCACTAACACACCTGACCTTTTTCTCTGTCGGAATTATGATGGCTGTCCGACCGGTTTCAACTCTAATGGACTCTTGGAATTGCTCACTTTCCCCTTCTGCAGCAAAGCTATGTGGGCGTTTCTTCTGCTTACCGACTGGGCAAAACGTCGCTTTCTTGTGCAACTATAGCGACACTCATTTCGGACGTGTCTCTGGTTACCCCATCTAATGAACTAATGTGACACTCGGATAACATACTCTATAGCCTTTTTCGATAAATATGTCATATTTTTCACCATACATCGGCGCATAACTCTTGGAGGGGTTTACACAACAGTGGTAGTGTTTAACTGAGCCATCACCTTATCTGTAGTTGCAACGTGGCAGGCATTCCGAGATTTACATTAAAGGTATAGTTTTTTTGACCTCTACTGTAAGCGGAGAAGTGGCGCGCTAATAACACGCTGGTGGATATTTGCTTTCAGGAAAATGCATTGATATATTGTCTTATTTATTACAAGGATTTCCACAGCAGGTTACTAGAGTTAGGTTGTATTTTTTGCATTCCAAGTAACACGGAATCGTTAATCAGTTAAATGAATTTGCTCAATGTCAATCGAAATCTACGCTTCTAAGCATTTAGCCATCGCCCTTGGCACTCACCGATATTGTACTAGCCTCGATTCTTACAGTGTTGCGTTCGATCACTGGAAATGCCACCCAGTTCGGTGACATGAGATATGAAACCTCACTCTCAGCTTCTGGGGCTTGACAGGCCTCGTTACTGCTTCATGTTATATCGGGCTTACTATATTGCGTATACCCTTACACAAAGTTACTTATTGCTCTGTATAATGGTCGCCATCTCCAGGCCGGATCGTTTAGTATGGTAGTTTGCATATCGACACAGTGGCTACTGTTGCTTCACTAGCACGCAACAATGCAGCTTGATCATATCCCCAATAGTATCCGTAACTTTCGCTTATGCGCATCATCTTTGCATTCCGTGGAACATCCGATACTCGCCTGTGGCGTCTCATATCAGTGCGCTCCATGTATGTTACTTGTCCTACTATATATTCTATCTTGGTTATTTTGCTCGAAGTCGGCGCACATTTGTATCTCTACACTCTACTTTCGGTGACAACCGATTGGCCGTTCAGTGAGAAACCAGTGTCTAACCCATCGTTTGCACGGATCAAAACACCCATGGCTCCGTAGCTTAAGTTGCTGATTCATTTAAGTAAGGTCATGGGTTTGATGCGACACAATCCGTCCAATACGCACTACTGACGAGACCCAATAGGACGAAATTACTGTCTAATGCTTCCTGGATGTGTGGTGGCTGTTTGACTAAGTCAAGTGGCGACTATCGTTTTCAAAAATACAACAACCCCCTGCCGCAACCACTCGCTTTCCGGCAATGCAGTCTTTTCGCATGCCCGGTTGTTTCGATAAACAAATCCGAAATCAGACCTTGATATTTTTGTACTGATACTTGTGCCACAACCTCAATCATTGTATTTATGTATGCATGCCTAACTATCCTAATGCTCCAGCTCGCAGTTATCTCAACTCAGGGCCTAGGCCCCTGGATATCTACTTACATCTATCCCAACCCTTTACGTTGTTGAATCATGAGTTTGCTCCGGTACCAACTCCTCAGCATGATATTCCTAGTTGTGCACAAAACCCTACCTGTTGCGCTCTGTGCCCTAATCACCTGCGATTCAAAGCGCTTTTTTTAGACCAGCCACTAAATTCCGCGCGCCATCTATTCCACGACACTGTTTGGAGATCAGTGGAACGGGATACTGCTGAATCTCCAGGTTTAGCGCGTACATCGTCGATACGGTAACCTAAACCTCGAAAAACACCTCTCTCTTGCATCCCCGTGTTACCTCTCAGGATTCAACTGTAACATGAGGATGATAATCCCCAAAATTATCTGTCCCCACGTGACACTTCGATTTTACTAAGTGACGATATTATTTCGCATTGTTTTTAATGCTGCAGATTGGCGTCAACAGTGTCTCGTGGGCACCAGCTATCAATGCGGATTTCATGCTTAGCCCACTCGCTTTGAAGTCAGTCAGCCCTCTCATTAAGCGCTTCGTGTCTGCCGGAAGTGATTCACTTATCAAAATATGGTGGTAAGTGCTCGTTATTTTCCCTTGCACAAGCCGTAGTCACAGTCTGTGTTTTATGTTTCATTTGAGTGAATGTCTGAATGTGGTCAAGATAAGGTTCTTCCTTTTGGGGAATATTAGGCCCATTTGATCTCTGCAACACGCATGCTCGCTTTTTGCCCAACCGTATATTGCGCTAAACAGAAGGAAACGGGAAGAAAATGTCCACCCTGCTATTGATGGGGACATAGCGTACGGGATCGTTCCCAATTACTCGGACAATACTCAATAGGATCCTTTATAGGTCAGTTGAGCCCCAGAAGCCACTACATGTTTATAGTCAGAAATCATTGATTATATACCTAGAGAAAAAAGGGAATTTACCTGCTTTTGGAGGCTCTCAGAGGCCCGCAATCGCTTTCGTTGTTTGGCCCCCAGTCACAAGGGCTCTCATTGGCTGATCCCAAATCAAAAGCTCTACCATTGACTGGCTCCTATCCATTGAACGTCCAGTTTGTGGGTCCAAGCTTCTACTGAGTCTAATGGCATGGAAACTAAAGAGACTTCCGAGGTCGACATGTATTGTTTACTGATAGTGCAGGTGGACATGTGGAACACCAGGTGGTCGATCGACGTGATGGCGAAGCAAAGTGAAGTAGTTTACCGAAGAGCTTAATCAGGCCGATATGTGCCAACATCTTCCGTGCTAGTCTCAGGATCGATGCCATCAGGGTTAACAATCTCATCCGACAACATAGCTGCGAAGTTAATGACACTTGCATATGTCTGTTGGCCGCTCCACTCGAAAATTTGGATTCCTTTTTTTCTAAACCATTTCGAGGTGTATCTTCTAACCTTCTCATTTTCATCCTGTTCTTGTTTCCCCCCCCCGTTGAAGCCTCAACTAAACTTTGCACTGCACTGTGGTCACTACTTGTGCGTATGATGCGGGTTATGGAAGTCTGATTCACCGCATCGTAGTCTGATGACAACTAAACTGAATCAAACGAACCTTATACGCAGCCAAGTTAGCAATGAATGAATTTTCTCAACTCAATCTCGTCGGGGGTCTACCTTGGGTGCGTCACCATGTCCTTCGTTCGGGGAGCCCTAAATGACGAGTTCGCCCAAATCAGCTTTAAGTTACGGAGCCTTTTGTTAGGAATTCTCTGTTTATCATGAATACTAAGCATGTGCGTTCTTCCACCAACGGTGCAATAAACACTGAGGGAATTAATTCATTGCGTAGGGCCTACCTCAATCCTCTGATCCAGTCTTTTTCCCTGAACCTCATCCTTTCGCAATAGTTGTGTGTTGTTCGCCTACAACCGCGCCCACGTCAAGTGGAGAAAGCGAGAATCGTTGTGCGAATGGAGTGCGGCGCTCAATTTTTTGTGGACCGCGAAGTGAACTCCGATCAATTTGGCCATTTGAATAGCGGCATCTGATGCAGACGATTGGTAGGTGTTGCCCGATCGCATCACTGCACTCCACGACTGGTTTCGCGCACTCATTTGCATTCATCAGCTTGAAACCGTAGTGCAGCGACTCGAGCCGACGACGTTTGCGATGTGGATCGGAGCCTTTATCCCTAAGCCACAGAGTCGTGGGCATTGCGAATCACAATGTTTACTGACTAAATGATGAATCGTTTTGAAGGGGATTGCGCTACACAATCTCAGTCCTGTATCATAACACATTTTAGAGTGAACTTCGGTCGATTTGTCCATTATACCTGCATCTGAAACAGGGATTGCTGAAGGCTGATCAGTCTCAACTGTCACACACAGCCAATTTCGTGTTTGATTGCATTGTTCAACTGGATCCACAGTAAGTCATCAGCCGTTGTGACAAGCATTACTCGCCGTGTCTCGGTTACTTAGGGCTGGTGACTTCGGCTGACATGCAGATGTCCCGAGCCCGAGTGACAGTTCTGTTATCCTCCTACCTGACGGGTTCAAACGCATACAAAACCCGTCATAGAGTGCAGTGTTACGATTGAGCAACATGTACCAATCACCTTGCCTCTGTCATTCTTCACAGTTTGACTGGCGTACATGAAAACCAGATGCCTAAAGAGCACGCCACATTTCGCCGTAATCGAGGCTCCATTGTTCATATTTTCACTTTACCTTAGTTGTTGAGGCATCGTCACTTATATTGTCGACCCACCGTAGTCATGTTCCTTGGCATCAAATGTGCCTTCGATTCGGTGGATGGATACGCCCTTTGGGTATGCCTACTCGATAAATATGTAAACGGTATAAAAACGCTTTGCGCACGTAGTTCGAACAGAATGTGGGCTTGTGACAAGTTGTTGTCGCCCTTGAATATCTCCAGCGGTTAAGGACAGGGATGCATGTTGTCACCTTTCCTTTTTAACTCCGCCATCGACGAAATCATGGAAATCGCATTCACTGATCACGACTTGGAAGGTTTGCATCTACTTCCAGCTGAGTAACTTCTTGACTTGGAGCGTGCTAATGAAATTGTTCTAATCTGTGACACCTCAAGTAAGTTTCAAACAGCACTGGACAGATTACCACTGGTTGTCAGCCGTTTTGCGCTCTCAAAGTTCGTTACTTTCCTCCAAGATTGACAAAGATCATCTCCAGCACTGACCTTTGGTGAGGATCAGCTAGAATTGGTTCCGAAATACAACTGCCTGAGCAGCTGTATCAGCACCTCTGTTTTACCATATTGTCACTAAATTTGTTTGACAAGACAGCCCTGCTCGACACACCACGTGCTAACTTCAGGACATTACTTTTGCGCTCAGACTGTTGAGGGCGGTCGTAGGACTGATGAGACGACTTTTTGCGTTGAACGCTCACTGCAGCCGTGGCGCCATAAGCTACCTCGCCGGTATGTTAAATGTGGGAGCGTTGAGATTTCGTCTGATGTATAGGGAAAACACTAACCGGAGAGTCGCTTTCCGCAACGTCACAGTCAGAAAAGGGACATAACGAACGTTGTTAGATCGGGTAGAGTGGGCGTATTCTGTCAGCTACTCGTAATCCTGAGCCCCAACTTCAAATAATAGCTTGAACAGCATCTAGCTATTATGATTACCCATATCCTTTATATAACCCGGAAAATAAGTCGCACAGCCCCTTTTTCCTTCTAATGCGTGTATGAATTGTCTATTCAACTGACTTCATATTGGCGGTTGAACTGTTCGCTGAGCTCGGCAATTTTGTTGCAAACGTTTCGTCACCAATCGAGATGACATCAACAGTACGTCGTTGATTGGCGTGCAGTAGCGTAGAGTAGCGTGACTTCATATTCATCGGTCGACGACAGCGTGTTCAACTTCGTCATAGACTGCCTCGTTTGATGAGGCTGTGTTATTTTTAGTAAGTACAACGCATCAACTCTGTACCATTGTAAGAACAGCCAGTATTTCCAATCACCACGTGATTCTGAATTATGTTTACTTGAGGGAGTCTAGCGAAAAGACGTTTCTTCGCAATACATCCACTAGTGATCTCTTGGCTGATATGCGGATACCAGGTGTGATTGCGATTGCTTAACATTTATTGAAAATATCTGTTCAAGGTAACCTAAGAGGATCCGCATACGTCAAAACGGTTGTAGTTAGCACTTGAGCTAGTGTTGACAAGCAGTAAACATGCATCGGGAGACGGCATTTTAGGTATATGCGGTACGACTCCGGAATATTAGATCAGCCGCTATCGAAACACCTCAGAATTCTCCGCAGGTCACTGGGTTGTGGTTTCCCGAAAACAGCCTCGGATCGCTTCACATATGACCCGCTGGCTCCGTAACTACGTCACAGCTTGCCTTTTGACCTGCGTAAGCTGTTGAGATCTGGTCCAAGCGCCAATTTTGATCTCTACTTGGCTGCAGACACCGCATGTCATTTCTTGCGTTCTGTTTCCTTCTTGCTAATCGCAGTTGGCGAGTACCGCGCTCTTGTAAGCTCCGTTTGTGTAACCGTCTAACCCTTCATTCTACCGTCTGGCGAACTAGTCAGGTGTGGAGTCGTGGTCATTGTGCTCTACTCTATACAAAACCCGATGAATGTGACCAACAGTGAGATTTATCTTGGGTTGTGTTATCTCCTGCCTGGTTGTTATTCTAAACAGCCCCTAATGTTTAAATCTCCGACCGCGTATCCACAAGTTCTGCATGACTGCATCCCATTGTAACAGAATTCAACTCATTGGTGTTATCACCGACGGTTCGTATCATTGAATAGTTTGCAGCATGTGAATTTCCAGTTTTTTGCCTTGTCTGGCTCGATTGATTTAGCATAAGGCAACGCTGCGCTGCCCACTAATAATAAATAAAGTTGAAACGTATTTGTGTATTTTTTGCACCGTGTACTTTATATCTTCGCACTCGGTTCTAATTTTGCAGGAATGTGCAGACAATTTGCACGGTTTTTACAAACGACGCGCCCCTTTGTAGTGCATTCTGTTTGTTCATGTATCCAACAAGCGGCACTTGTTGACTTTCTATATGTTGTATCATCTCTTGCCCCTTCAGTCCGTTTCTGTTGTTTATCGTTTTGTAAACGGAACCCTAGTTGGCGTTGCATGTTAACTCGGGAGTAAGCCCTTGGGCCCAGTTCGATCGACCGCAACTGTCCTAACCCATTCTGTGCTCCTCACTCGGGTGTACCTCGGAAAGTCTGTGTCCTCCGCAACTACGTCATGTGCGATCTGATTGTATTATCTTTCGCCGACCTTGTGGTACATGCTATTTCCTCCGGATACCCTTCCCCACGGTTGATTTTGCACTAAACCCATGTGATATCAAATTCACTCCGTATGCTCAGTAACGTTCGTGTGGAGGTTTACGCATCGAAGTTATCTATTGACAAGAATGTCTTCTTTCTGGTAGAGACATTGGACAGTCCCAACTGCAGCGCTTCCCGGCACATGAGCTAACCATTTAGCATAAACTTTGCTGACTGCAGGATTGTGCTTCATGGCCTTATTTAGTCTCATCTAATTCGTTTACTTACGTATGCTTTACGGGATTTCATATTTCTCTGG